CCTCCATGGCTTAAACAGGAACCGAAAATACAAAAAAAAGTAAGGATACCCTCTCGCCCCGCTCCCAGGAACGGAGCGCAACCTTAATAAGTTTACACTCATTGAACAGTTTTTTAGCACTCTAGAACAACTACTGGCCAAGAATGAGAAAGATGATAACCAAAAGGTAACGCTCCGCACAATGTGATTGGATTGAACAGGTCCGAGAGGTGGATGCTGTGCAGTGGAAAGAAGAATAAGACCAAAAAAATACCATCAGACTGCTCTCTGAATGGTACAACGGATGGAACACCAAAACCATTGAAGAAATGAGAACACATATGAAGTTTGTAACCCAGCTTGTCCCTGAAAATCACCTGTGCCTGGTCATAGAATATTCGAGTTTTTACACAACTCAGCTGTGGTTGAAAAAAGCGGTTGAATTGCAAAAGCTGAAAAACTGGTTTTTCTTTTACAAAGAGATGTCCCAGACCACAGGAAGTACAAATCCAGCATAAGAACGTGAGGTGAATGGTGGTTCTGGACTCTGTGGAGGAGATCATGGTTTCTCAGAGACGCTGTAGAAGGAGCAGAATACGTGCACCTGGTATCCAGGTACACTCCAACTCTAACTGAACTGAGGACCTGAGACAGGAGTTTGGACACTGTTGTAATAAAAGTTATAACTGTTTTTGTGACAATCTAACATCCAAGTTTGGCAATTGACTCCAAATTCACATGTACTCAAGCATCCTGGACAGCTGATATTCTTGTATGCGACTGCTACATAAACTCCATCCCCTCTCCACTCCACCTCCCAGTAACAACGTCCAGTCAGACTCTCTCTACTCAGGACCTGAAACCATTCAGTGAATCTGTCTGGGTGACTAGAATAAGACTGTTGTTGACTCATTACTGTTGCTTTTCTGTTAGAAGAAGTCTCAACAAAAGCTCTAAGCCAAAGACAGCCCAAAACCCACTGGAAACCCTGGGTGGAAAACCAATTTTCTGAGTTACAGGTTTTTTGGTTTTTCCTTGAAACAGTTTTTGAAAATTTTTTTCCAGGGCTTTCGTGATTCCATGGAGTTTCTTGCCAAAGATGTTATTTGTTGGAAAACCTTTTTGGCTTGAGTTTATAAAGTCTTTTACAGACTTTAAGAAAAAGCTGGCATTGACTCTCACTTCAATTTCCCAGGCTTAACATTTTTCTTCTTATTATAGGTAAGTCCCAGTAAGCCTAGTACAGGCTTAAATTCTGTTTGCAACCCCACTGTTGGTGTTCTTTGGGATCAAACAAAAACAGCTTTTACCTTTGTTTTTTCCACAATGTTGAAACTTTCCTTTAAGCATTTTCCACTTTTGTATTTTTTCCCAGGTACTGAAAAAACCTTGCATTCAAAAAAGGCCAGGCAAAGGTGCAATTTTTGGCTTGCTTTTAGCCTTGGAGACCCGTGAGCATCCTTCCAAAGAACCTGGTTTACACACCTTCATTTCAGGTTTCCTATTTGAGCTGCAACTTCTCTGGTTGGCCCCGGATATTTATCTTTCCAAATAAAGACCAGCAAACTGGTGATCCCCTGAAGGAACCCCCTCCATGGGTTTCTGTTGGAAAGGATTTTGTGAAAGGCAGAGGATTACCCACCAAAAAAAATTTTCCAACAGTTAATTTACTTTCTTTTAGACTGGTCAAATCCAATTTTGGATTGGTTGAATTGCATGACTTCATTGGCAGAGTTAATTTAAGTGTTGTCGCAAATCCCTTTCCCAACTTTGGGTTTATGGGGTTGCTGTTCCAGGGGTTGGGGACTTTTCTATTACAGTCCAATTGTATTATCTTTCCACAAAGATTACAGTGTCTTGTTCTTTTTCTGGCTTGAGTTTTAAGAAACAAAAACCAGGCAGTTCAAGCCCAGGTCCGGAATATGTTTTTTAAAGGTGGGTGATGATTCCTTCTTTGAATCAACCTTTTTTCAAAACCTCACCATTCAAACTTTTAGGGTTCAATAAGCATTTAGGAAAAAACACGACCTGTGTCGTATAAAAGAAGTGGGGAAAGAAGTTAGCAATTCAAAGCCAGGCACTTGAAAAATAAAAGTGGCTTTTAACTTTTAAAGGTCCCCCAAGGCTCCTTTTTAAACACCTCCCCATTGCTCTGGTTGAGCCACTTGGTTGGCAAATTGTGCTGCCACCGTTGGCTTTTTGATTACGAAACCAGTCAGTTTAAACCATGCTTCAACCACTATCTTTTCCCAATAAAAAATTGGACCTCTGCCATTTAATTTTAACTATAAAGGCAGGTATCTTCCCTTTGGCAAATCTTGGTTGTTAAACTCTCACGGAAGGTTTTTCCGAAGCATTCTTATTTCTGATGGACGGAAAACATGTTTTTTTAACTTCTTTTCTTTTTCTGAAATGTTTTTTTGATTTTTCAATTTTTTTGAAAACCACATTTCCAGGTAATCCACTTCGGAAATGTCAACTGGTTGTCCCCATTGAGGGTCATTTTTGCCCAAACCTTAGTAAGGTGGCTTTCCCTCCTCTTCCAATCCTCGCCCTGGACATGGGTACAGGGAAAGTGTTGATCTCATCCACTTTCTTCCTCTTTGGCCAATTGCCATAACTTTCCACTTTTCATTTGGGCAAGTTCCCAGGCAACATTTTTATTTGCAGGACAACATAGCCTTTGGGCTAAGAAAGCCAAGGGGGGCACTTTTCAGGGCACAAAGGCGCTTTGCTCCTTTCTTCCTGAATGAAACCCACAGCTTAAATAAAAACCCCTCCCTCTCTCCTTGCTCCTCAAAAACACAAGGCGGAAGCTCCTCTCGGCAAACCACATATTCCTTGTTTTCCCTGCTAACAAGCTTTGAAGGAATGGGTGTAACCAAAACATTTTGCGTGACGTTTTGAAAAGGGAGCCGACAGCCCCCATTCGTCTTGGCAGGAAACCACCTGGTTGAATTAGATCAGAGCTCAAAAACTTAGTTTTTCAGGCTCTGAGAAAGTTTGAAACTCAGACAAACAGTCGGTTTGGTTTCCCACTTGAGAGGGGGAAATGGGCGACAGAAAAGGAGTTTTCAAGGCTGGGAACCAAGAAAGATTCTTGCTGTCCATCTGTTCTGGATTTAACTTGGAAGGGGGAGTCCGGTGGGCACTATGTCCTTTTGTGGAACAAAACAGGGCTTTTTTGAAACTTTTGCATGGAACTGTATTTTAAAAAAAAAAAAAATTTCTGGGATGGAGGAGATGAAAAGAAAAAATCCCAACAGGCTGCCCTCGTTGTAGGGCCAGAACCTTCCCAAAAAAACACCGAAGCCTGGTTCCTGATGAAAAGACACCATGTAGGGCAGATTTTAGTGGAGGAACTGGAATAAGGGAAACTGGGACTCCAGCTGGCCTTTCCTTGGCTGATCCCAACTTTGGCTTATGGCTGGGACCTGAAGATGTGGCCTTTGGTTGATGTCTGGACTGGAGAAAACTGAAAAAAAGCCCCTCAAGGTTCCTGTCTGTTTTCTTCTCTGGTTTTTCCTTTACTGTGAGGAACAACTAACAAGCCTTCCATTATGATGTGGCTCATTAAAAAGGAAAAACAAGGGCTGGTGGACCCTCCAAAGAAGCTCCCAAGAAGAAAAACATTTTGCTTTCCTTTCGTTTCATGATGAGGTGATGAAGGATTGTTTCTGGCGTTTTTAACTTTGATCAGCAAAGTTTATGGCTTATCTTTGTTATTTTCTCTTTGCTTCTTGTGGGAAAAACATAAAAAGGCCACGACAACAGTCTCAAGGCTGCAGGGCAAAAAAGAACTGAGAGCCAGGAGAGAGTCGAGGTTGAGTCGGGACAAAAAAACAATTCCAAAGCAAGAATCCCAGGACAGAGGAAAAATGTGAAGAGCTTCAACCAGGAGGTTGGAGGTATTCAAATCGGCTCTTGCTTTGATAAAGCCAGTGGAGGACAGTTGAGAAGATTCTTCACTCAGCTGGGGATCGTCTTTTTTCATGGAGAAAGAAAAGGCTCTGATGTGGAAAGGAAAGCGGTCAGATTTTCCCAGGGGCAGCGGGGAAAAACTTGAAAGTTGCAGTCGAGTCAAACAAGAGTTCAGGAGAAAGGGCGTGGAGCAGGAGATTCACTGAAGCTGAAGAGGCAAATCGACGTGAGATGAAAAAGAAAGCTCGTCACACAACAAGAGGACCCATCACCCAGTTTTCTTACACAATTAACCCCTTCACTGTCAGCACTCAGTGAAAATTTTCTAATTTCCAGCATCAGATATCCGTCCTCTTTTTGAGGTACTTTGGGGATGTTGAACAGCGGGGCTGTTTGTCAAGGGAAAAGCTCAGAGAATATGAAAACTTAACAGGACGTTTCTGAGCGGACAATGGACAAAACGTTTGCTTTCACTGGACAGTGGGAACTGAAGTGATTTTACTGTCACCCAGAAGCCAAAGGACCCAGATGGATTTCTTTTTCCCAGATAATTTTCATGTGGAAAAACTTCCAACCACTGGATCCAAAAACAAGCAAGAAACGGCGATGGGCTTGTTATTTTATTCTTGGAGT